GCGAGGAATTGAATGACGAGAGTGTGAAGCGAACGAGCCTGTGCTGGTCTGTGCTATCGGAAATCGGTGATATGAGGTTCTAAATTGACTGAAATAAGGTTCTAAATTGACTGATATAAAGGTTTATAGTTAGTGAAAGGAGGTTCTAAATTGACTGAAATTAGTTTCTAGATTGACTGAAATAACGTTCTAAATTGACTGAAATGAGGCTTAGTGAAATGAGGTTCTAAATTGACTGAAATGAGGGTTTATGATTAATGAAATGAGGTTCTAAATTGACTGAAATAATGGTTAGTGAAATGAGATTCTAAATTAGATGAAATAAGATTCTGAAAATAATTGAAAAAGGTTGTAAATTAACCGAAATGAGGATCTAAAATAAGTGAAATAAGGTACTAGGATCAGTGGGAAAAGGTAAAAAAAACAAAAAAACCCAGTGAAATACGGTTCTAAAATCAGTTACATAATTATAAAACCAGTGACGTCAGGTTCTGAATTAATAGAAATAAGATTCTGAAATCATTGAATTAAGGTTTTAGAATCAGTGAAATAAAATTCTCAGTTAAATGAAATATGTTTTTTTTAGAATATGTGAACCGAGATTCTAAAATCAGTGAAACATATAAATAAGAAATAAAAAAAAATAAGATTAACCGAAACAGGACTAAATTAACTGAAACAAATGCTCTGATTTAACTGAAACAAGACTAAATGAATTGAAACAATGTTCTAAATTAACTGAAACAAGTTGAAGCAAGTTTCTAAAATGCAGACAGAAACAACGCTCTAAATAAAAAGAAACAAGACTAAATTCCCCGAATCAGTGTTCCAAATTAACTGAAACAAGACTAAACTCATCGAATCAGTGTTCCAAATTAGCTGAAACAAGACTCCTTTGAGGAACCGATTCGCCCCCCCCCCACCCACCCACCCACGAGCGCGGGCGGGACACTGACAAACACATTTTATTACGCACGAAGCGTGGGAAGGTGTCTTTGTCGGAGATGAGGCCGGATATCAGGAAATATCGATAAAATCTTGGCACAAAGACGAATCTTTATCGATATTCAATATGCCAAACGATCTGAGAGATTGAGAGCGTGATTAAGCAGAAGAGAGAGAGAGAGGAGAGAGAGAAGAGAGAGAAGAGAGAGAAGAGAGAGAAGAGAGAGAAGAGAGAGAAGAGTGAGAAGAGAGAGAGAGAAAGAGAGAGAGAGAGAGAGAGAGAGAGAGAGAGAGAGAGAGAGAGAAAGAGAGAGAAAGAGAGAGAGAAAGAGAGGGGGGGGGGGGAGTGTGTCAAAAGAAGTCATTTCTTACGCGTTTTGTGTTCGGTAAAAAAAAATAATAATAAATAATAATAATAATAATAATAATAAAAAAAGCCTAATCTTCTGGTATTTGAAATTAATGTCGCCGCCGTGGCTCGCCGGCAAATTAATTTTATTATTATTATTATTATTATCATTTTATAGTCTAATAAAACATACGTCAACAACAACTACGGCAAAAAAAAACAGGGTAAAAAAATCTAATAAAACAGTCGGCAACAACAACAACAAAAACAGGGTAAAAAAACAAAAAAACAAAAAAAGTCCTAATCGAATGGTATTTGAAATTAATGCCGCCGCAGTGACTCAACGGAAAATTTATTATCCTTTTTATTATTATTGTAAATATTATTATCCTATAGGAAGAGTATAGAATTAATAAAACACTCGGTAATAGAAAAAAAGGATTAAGAGCCTATATACTATTTACGTCTCCCCGACAGTATCTCGCACTAGAAATAGAACGCTGTTATATTAACGTAACGTAAAGTTCCTCGAATTATCAATAAATCAGTATTTGTGCTCCAAGTACTTTCTCTTCCTTATCCATATAAAAAAGATAAATTAAAAAGGGGCTGTAGACTGACCGTTGGAAGAAAATTGGAATAAATGAACCGACGCCAAGGTTTAGCGGGAAATGAAGGCTTAGGGACCCCGAGCCTAATCCTAAATTCGTCGAGGGATGCCGCCTTAACCCACAAACAGATGTAAAAATAAACGAAGCCATATTAAAAAGATATTATTACTTCACAAGTTAAACACAAAGAGAAAAACGAAGGGAATCCAGTATGTGTTCTTACGTCCAATGATCTTTTTTTTCCCACTAATGATATAGAAAGAAAAAAATGTGGCGAGAAGATATATAGTTTTATTTTCAATCATATATATATTTTTTTTTCTTCAAGCTAGATGCATTTTTTTATTTCTTCCTTAAAAAAAAAAGAAAAAAAATATGGATGACCATTACTCATTGCCAGATTAATCAACTTTTTATTTTCTATTTATCTGCTGCTTGTTCTTGACCGAGAGGGAGAGGGAGAGTAAGAGGGGGGGGGGAGGGAGAAGGAGAAAGAGAAGAAGGAGAGGAAGAGGGAGAGAAAGAGGGGGGAGAGGGAGAGAAAGAGGTGGGAGATGGAGAGGGAGAGAGAGAGAGAGGGGAGAGGGAGGAGAAG